GAGCTGTTGAAGTCATGTTAGGATAAGCCTCAGATTAAAACGATGTATTCAAGGTAGACCTACCAAAGCTGCAAGAATGGTGTAGTCATCTAGACCAAGCTTCACTTTTTGGTAGCCGCGAAGCCAGAAACGCAAAGCAACAACGGCGATTCCTACAACCGGAAGCGCTACCCCTGCAGCTGTAACCTCTCCGGGTCCGACGAAGGAGATGGCAAGTTCATTTGCAGACATGTCTCCTTGTTTGAGGCTACTGCCAGCTCAGCAACTGATGGCTAGCAGATGCGGTTGGTGGACTCGGACTTGTAAAAAGGTATTACTCGAGGAGCTTTGATTCAAGTAAATGAAGCCGATTGGGAATGCGGTATTAGCAGCTATCTTACTATGTAGTTCATATCATACGGTGGTGGTCTCGCTTGAACTAAGACTGATCATGATTACGCGCTGTTCCTCTGATGATTACGCGATATAGTACCTCAAATTTCTTCACGCCCCTAATGAGCATGAAGCACAAGGTCTCAATACTACGCTGCAGAATTCGTCAAGACAAATTCGCAGAAAAGTAGAAGTGTTATAGCGTGGCTAATAAGCACTATCTTAGAGGGTGTGCCCACCCTAGTCCGATAACCGCGTTGCATTTCTGCGGATGATAAGATGAGCAGCCCGTTTGCGCTGTAAAACTGGTGAAGATCTGCTTCGGTGTTTATCAAAGTAGTATTGAAGGTGATGAAAAATATTACAACCGAAATACCCATGTCAAATAGGGGATATCTACGCTTACATCACCAAAAATACTTTTTGGTGTGTTCTTCCTGAATGAATCGAGACCGCTCCGGAAAACAACGGATTCGCATACCTGCCCCACTACTTTCTATTTTAATTCTCAAGATCACGAGGAATAGTAAGATTTTAGAATTCGGTACATGCGTATAATTTCTTGGATGGTAGCCACCCATCTAAATCTTCATTGTCCTATCGAATTGACTAACTGTACCCATATCTCGTAAATTTGCAGGCTTCCTCACATTTCCCATACAATTATTCCAAGCCTCCAGAAACAGAATTCAATTCACACAGATATATCTAACATTTCCATAATCAGAATCAGGATCGCAAATACATTATTGTTTAAATGACCTTCTTCATAAATATACGAAACAAAATACCCCATCTCACATCTTTGCATCTCCCGTCCTCCGCTTTGCCTCCACAGCAGATTGATCGGAGTATGGCTTTATTAGCATCTGAATATTCTAGTCACTCCACTCCAGTGCTTCTTCCGCCAAGGAGTATATTTAACACCCTCGACCTCGCATTTGTCGCCTGCAGACACAATCTATTGTTTATCTTCGGTTGGACTGATTCTTCCCTCTCTTTTTCGACTTTATTCGAGTCGACAGAAAGGTCAACCATCTACGATATAGGTCAATTTCTCGAGTTTCGTACATGAAGAGCAACGATTAAGTCTCGAGCGATTGAGACGAAACAATTTCCTCCTTGGAATTCCTCATCCCTTCCTAGTCTCCCGCATGTACAACAGGAGAACAGAAATATTCCCAAATCAGGACAGAATGGTTACTTGCCACCACGAACTTTATATCTCCCAGTTGAGAATTTTGCATTTTGGCCATCACATCCCGATAGTGTGTTACTGCCATCCCTGAGCCATTTATCATCCCCCCATTCTCACAAGCGCTTGCTAGAGAGCTTCAATTCGGCCATAGGGCAATTTCATATCATTCCGTTTGATAGAAAGCGATTTCCAACCCGTGTCGTGATCCCAGAGGCAAATCACATCCTGAAAACACCTTGAATCATAAACTTAGGGCTGGCCAATACCCGTTCCGATCAATCATGAATCCTCGAGACAGATTGAAAAGGGGTGTCCCTGTTCTTCTCCTACCTCTTGAAGGAGAAGGAATAATTTCATACATTATTCAATCTTCACATGGACCATGCAATCTCACATTTTGAAGAACATAGAAATGGTCATCAATACATTGAAAGATATTTTACTGGCTTGCCATCTTTACCCGGTAGTTTCATACTCCAGACTTCTGAATTCATCCAGATATAAATCTCGACATGAGACTGCATAAGAACAGTATTGTACATTCGATAATATTCATAGGAACAGATAGTGATCCTTGTAATTCATGGAGTCCGAAGTAGTTCACTCATGACTCTCCTTGGCTTTTCAAAATTGATATATATTTATCGCAAGCGTTCTCGGCGATAAAATAATGGCGCGAAGAAAGAATAAGAGAACAAAATCTGGGGTGAGAGTCATCACCCGGAGCCAGTAAATTAGTACTGGTACAATTTCAAAAAGCGCTATTCCAAATCCTCTCTACCAATAGAAAAGAATACAAATAAAAGGCAACATCCAATCATTCATGAGATTACCATGATGTTCCTTCCAAAGATATTATGCAATACTCGACCGACCCTCGAATAAGAAGAAAAATACAACATCACATATATCCGCCAGATCATTTCCAAACCATCCGAAAAAGTTGAGATAGATACTCATCTGCTCCCAAGTCGACTACAATAGAGACCTCGACTCCAGCGTGTTCCAAACTCGCAATTCCGTAAACTCCATCAAGCACTCGATTCTCTACGCAGGGGAGAACATACATCCATAGCTTCCAATGCCCGCTTCTGCATCCCATCATCCTTCAATATGCAAGTAGCCTCCATTCCTTCTCGTCAAACCTTTCACGCCAACCTCGTCGTCTGACTCTTAATCTCCCCATCCCCCAATTCCCTCACCGGCTGCGTCCCCGGCATCTCGATATGATATTCCGGCGCATACATTTCATACGCCACGGGTTCACTTCTCGAACAATCGCTCGAATCCTCCATTTTCTCATTCATATGCACTTCCGAATTAGGATATACCGTATAATCCGCGTTTTTCGCCTGTTTCTTACGCCAGAAGAAAAATCCCGCTGCCAATGCTAAGAGTGCTACAATTGCGATACCGATACCGATTCCGGCTTTGGCTCCGCCGGAGAGACCGGTTGCTGGGGTGCTATCGGTGGAAAGCCCAGTCTGGGTCGGTGACGAGGAAGCGGATGCTGCGGATGCGGAGCTACTGGTGGAAGAGGTGGTAGGATTTGGGGTTGCCGTAGTAGTGGCATCACTGTCAGCCGAAGCCGTAGTTGATATCGATGTTGATGTCGTTGAAGTTGACGAATCCGTCGGTAATGGTAATCCTAATGTTGTAGGTGACGCACGTTGATTTTGGTCGACGATGAAATGTTCGCTATTTGCTCCATATCCATTTGAAGCATTTGGTTTCAAATCGAACCAACAAGGTGAACCACCTAACCATCTCCAATTAATTGGCGCAGAGCCATTGAATGCTGTCACCGTGGTATAGCTTTCTGTGAGAGAAATATTGAGTGAGTTTTCATTGCTCCATCATGTTCTTTTGTATTATTCTAAGATGATATCTTACCTGTGATTAGTGGGCCCGTAATATCCGTGATGTTTTGACAATAGATCCAAAGTTGAGGCTCTGGAAAAGGAGATGTGTAGGTTACATTAACGGTATCGAGATAGTTGATGGTGAGATTATCCGTTGGATACAGAAAAACAACACCATGATCATCAGCTCCAGTATATCCTATACTCCACGAGAAGCAAGTAAGAAATGTCAAGAAATAATTCCGTGAGTAATACATGTTGATGACCGCAATAATTGATGTCCTAATTCAAGTTACACTGAGGATCGAAGTCATCAAAAGATTCCATGTTGGATACGTGAAAGATTTGAATCTTCTGAGAGATGTTGAACAAGGAAATGGGGCTCATGGGTCTAAGGGCTTGGTCTTTGCCCAGAACCAAAATATGGGTTAAATGGGATTCTTCCTCAATGCCAATGAAAATAGTGGAGATCTGTTATGATGGTCTCCCTTCAACTTTATTCAGAAGGAAGTAAGCTTAAGCTTCTCATTCTCTTAGAAATTTATTCCTGATTGGCTTGGCAGCCTTTCTTTAATGGTATCTGTATTTCTAATGTAGGGTGGGATGATTTGATACTGCACTGCCTACTCGGGTAGTATGCAACCATGAATACTGGTACTCTAAAGGAGGTTGCAGGGTTAATCTAACAATCCCTGTAGCATGGCTGGAGCATGGCTCGAGCATGGCATTGAAATACCTACTGGAGTATTTTCATAGACGGAAATGATCATTCTGATACCAAAACTTCAAAGATTGACGAAAATTAACCTTCATGAATGCAATAAAAAGCACGAAGAATATAAGCAAGAAGATACAACACGCGAGCATAGAAGAGGTTTCCCCTCCCTCCCCCACCGCTAGAGCCAACCTAGTGTCAGTTTTTTCCTAATGCCATCTAAAACAGTGGAGATATGATACTACAGCCTCCTCTCTCCTGTCAACTTCTTTCTTCAAAAGGAATCGAACGATAAGCGTAACGGACAATAAACTTTTTTGCTGTCACAGAGCCTGATCACTGATTGGCTCTCTGCCTAGGATTGAATCAGCGATATATGTATTTGGAGAATATCTTTGTACGTAGGTGGGATGATGCATACCTATCCCTTATCTGATTGGTGAAAGTAGATTAGCCAAGCTAGCCAAGCAAGCCATTTTAGCCTCCCGAGATTAAGCTTATTGTTCCCACGTTCCACGATCCCCCTGGCTCAAGTCTCATACCTATCGAGGACCATCTTCACTACGTAAAATTCGAGACGTTACACCGCCTAAAAATAAAAGACCTCATATATGTCCCGTTTCCTCATGTGTGCCAAGTTTAGCCCCAAGAATAAAAAAGTGCGAGCCGACGAACAGATCATTGGAATTTTCTGCTTGGTAACAATGTAACCCCAGCACGTGCTGGGTCCATGACAAGGTTGAGCTTGTAGAAGTCAAAGTGGAACCATGTCTGATCAACAACAAACAGGATCCTCCAAAGCTGTCACCAGCGTTTAACGTCCTTCACGACTTGCTGAATCACATCATTTCAATCATAAAGCCCACAATTGCCAAGTCATTACCGCCAGGGTCATAACACTAGTAATATAAGCGGCAACTCCAAATGCTCCTTGAATGTCTTTTTCCAGTATTGTCCAACAAATAGCAAATGCTATTCCTAAGACCGAGGAGAGTATAAACATAACGCTAATTGCCAAGGACGTATTTAATCCCTCGACAAAATGTAATCCCCAGCCTAGATTTTCGCTTAAACTATTTGCATTGAATGCGATCGGTTCGATCTTCCTGCGGGGAATTCGTTGGAGGTAGAAATTCGAATTGACATCAGAAATTGAAGGACAGTCTTGGAAAAGATGCAACATGTGTTCTGGACCTATAGGAGGAACCATTTTTGGAGGCGGTGGCGGTGCAAAATCATACTCATTGGTTGTTGGTGGAAGATCATTAGGTTTGATATGATCAATATAGTCGTCTGGACAGGCTTCGAACTATGTAAAGTCAGCAACGTCATTCCACACGCTCAATCGAAACCGGGAAGTTCGGTGTTGACCAGCTGGTAAAAAAATCATCGCTGCTCAAGAAGTAGACGGACACTTCGTCCAATACTCTCAAGGCTTATGAAATCTCAACCTCAAAGCCCAGACTCCTTTCCAAATCCCCCGAATTTTGGAGATCCAAGATACTGATAAGGAAATTCAACTGGTATTGGGATTTCATACACCTATAAACTCGATTCTCCTCAATTTCAAAATCGCCCAATCCTTCCACGTCTTTTCTCTATTATAAGCATGTTTAAGAGCTTTGAAGAAAGTTTTATCGGTCAACGGATCTTGATTTTCGTCCTTACACACATGAAGTGGCTTGAGGTGGGTTGCGTATGGTTTTTTCTTCATGCACAAGTGAAGCCAACGGCATTCATCGGCAGGAAGGCAGACCGGATTTTTCGGGAGACCCGCTTTCACAAACGTTGGTAGAGGGGTATTCCGAAGGTTCGAAAGTTTTCTCGAGATGAGATTAATGCCATTTTGGAGCCTCCCACTAACCCAAAGTTTCGTCCCCAATGGTTGATTTGTTATTTGTGCTCGAGTTATGTAGCCTGCTTGCATCAATTCATTTGCAAAATCTACAACTGCACCTTCCCGACCTGGGAGCTCAGTAAAATCGTCGTGGGAAGCATGTCCACATTTCTAGTAGAGTATTAGCATAAAGCTGAATCCATGAGTATACATTCTCATAAGATGTTCTTACACATGTCCAAACCATGCGTCGAGTAGCATTTGGTAAAATTTTATATTTTCCAAGTAATTTCTGCAGCCCAGAATATATTTTGTTCAGTTGAACATAATCATCGAAAAGTGATTTCGTTCGATTAGAATATAATTCTTCAAACATGATCCGAGCTCTGCAATTATGGAGAAGGACCTCCTTCTTTAAGTTCTCTTCTGAATATTCTCTTCTCTTACTGATATCAGATAATGCACGGTTCTCGATCTCTTTAGCTTGATATTTTGAACCACGGAGAAGGGATGAAGGACCTGCCAGACTTCCTCGATATTTGTCGGATCTTTTTACCTCTCCCAAATTGATGGAAAACTTCATACTTTCGAAACATTCTTGTGAGAACAACAGCGGTTCGTGGTGGTGCACTTGACTCCAAGTTTGAAGAGCATGACTCATGCAAACGTTCGCATCAGCAGGAGAATATATAGCCCATATATATTCCCTATAGCCCAGACATAATAAGTGATCTATGCGGTGCCAATCCGGCACTGCTTCAGAGTACTTTTTAATCACACGCAGAGATGGGGGTTGTTTGGCTACTTGCAGCAATAAAATGAATGCAGGTTTTCTGTCCAGGGTTAGAGGGGAGGTACGCTCAACATCAAAGTTGGGAGCATCAACAAAGCTACTGAACGAATCGGGGTGATCGATGCCGAAATAAGCGGGATGTAGAGTAAATGTGACTCGACCGTGTTTTCTAGAAAGTTGAAAAGATTTGTTAGCCTCCCCAATGAATGTAGTTGGTTTAGGAGAAGTGTTCTCACTTATCACCCCACAATAATTGGTATAAAAGAATGCCATAGGAACCCGAAAGATTCTCAATTGAAACAGCGTAAGCACTTTGCACATCGTAGAAGAGAAGAAAAGGATGAAGAGCGTCCGAGATACGAATCGGGAGGGGTGTATCAGTGAGCCGGCATAAGGCATAGTTCATCTGCATGACTAGATTTGACATAGGTAGGCTTTTTGGAATGGGCGCTCCTTCATATTTGGTCCGTGAGGAGCCGATCTTCAGTTTCCTATAATCTGTAACCATGTTACGTGGATTTTCCCTACTCTTAGGGTTGCTTCCAGGTGACGTCCATTTCACATCGTCCGGATATGAGTCGTCCGAATACAAATCATCTGGATACAGTTCTTTTGTTTCGCTAATGTTGGTGGGAGGAGCTTTTTCCTGATTGAATTTGGATTTCTTTGACCCAGAATTAAACCTCCATGAGTGATCTGTGTCAAGTTCTGAAGAAGGTGTGGGAGGTATGAGAGACGTTGAAAGTATTTGTGGTGTTGAATTTGCTGGAGAGATTTCAGGTACTGGAGTTGTTGGAGGTTTTTGAAGTATAGGAAGGGTTTGGAGTGTTAGAGAATCTGAGTGTCTTGAAGGCGTTGGAGTTATTGGAAGTGTTGAAACCAAAGATGTAGCTTCAATCTCAAACATCTCCATTTTCCTACTCCATTTCTCATTTTTTCCATTCGGTTGACTTTCCAGTCCCGAATCCCACGTCAAACTCCAATCCTTCTCAGCAGTCTTATTACCATCCACCACTTTCCTCGGAGCAAGCGCCCCCTTCCTCATGCGCACTCTTCCCGGATCAAGCAAAGCATGATATCTCTCCAACGTCTTCGGCATCTTCAACTCCAGCTCATAATCCCTCTCACACTCCCTCTCCCCCAATCTATCCTCCTCCTCCTCCCAATACGTCTTCGGCATATCCTTTAGCGCATCATCACAAGCCTTGGACATCTCACCCAAGACCTTCAAAACCTCTCTCAATGATTTCGCAACTCCTTTCAACACCACAGAACGGCATTTTAACCTCTCTTTCATAGCTAGGTAAATGATCGCCATTTCGTTAGGATTCGAATTCATCGTCTCATCCAGAGAATCAGAAATCCCAAGCAATAATTCAGCACGGGTTTTCAATCCTTCTCTCATAGCATCATCGTAGATTTTTAACCAGTCGAGATCTAGATCCGACATGAGATCTAGGATCCCTTGACTTGTCAACGGGTTTCCCATTGTGAATTTCGGATGAGAATCTCAGCTTGATTCTTGAAACTCCGTAATATCCACACACCCGAAAATCCAAATAAACAAAAACCCAAAGAATCACACCCAAAAACTCAACAGGAGAAACAGAACACTAAATAAACCACCCCCATCTCGTAAGCCAAATCGCCTTTCTTTCCGACACACTTGGCGCAGCCTTGCTGCGCATACATGCATCAAACTACCCATGTAATCATCATCTCAGCCCTCCCAATCTTGATTTTCCATCCCGCCACGAACTCTTCATCATGATTCTCATATATCATAGAATACGTGAATCATGGATATCTTAATGACCCTCATTATCTTCCCACATTCAAAGGGAGAAGAAAATTGAAAAGAATGAGATAGGGTAGATGTTCAAAAAGGAAGATATGAAAACTCCTAGAGTAATTCAACATGTGATATTTGACCAGATACCAACGCTATATCAGGTGGTCGGAATGAATCTTGGCAAGTAAGCAGGGACCCAGTACTACTAGGTATCTTTGGCCCGTAGTGTAAAAAAGAAAGACAATGTTTACCATAGCAAATACAATAGTTAAAAACTTATATGGATAGCCTGGAGTATCCAAGACTGAATTTAAGCATTGTTATTAGGTATCGGAAGTGCACGTGTGTTATGCACGTGATCGGGATATATCATGCTTTACATTGACTCTCGAGAGCATAGGATTGAGGGTTTCTGTATTTATTTGTTATTTATTTATACATACACATCAGACACATCACATCAAACCAACTACACCAAATTATTTCTATTAATTCCTTAGTATACAACAACGCTATCGACCATTCCAGTTCTTGTCCTATCATCACAACCCATTCCGCCCCCTCCCATCCCCTCCGTCCCCCTATTTCTCCTCCCAATTCCCCCTCGCCCACTCCCTCAAAACATTCTTCTTCACCTTCCCCGTACTCGTCTTCGGCAATTCCTTTACCACAATCACTTCCTTCGGCACCATAAACCTACTAATACTACTTTCCTCCTTTGCCCACCTCACCACATCTTCACCTTTCAGCCCCTCTTTCCCTCCTTCTCCCCCTCCACTCCCCTCCCTAACCGTAACAAAAGCCACCGGACACTCCCCCCACTTCTCATCTCCCACCGCCACCACCCCCGCCTCCAACACCCCCTCATGCTGCACCAACATCGCTTCCAACGCCACACTACTGATATTCTCTCCCCCACTAATAATAATATCCTTCGCGCGATCTAAAATCTGCGCACTCCCGTCCTCATGCCACACTGCCAAATCTCCACTATGCAGTGCACCACCCGCGAAAAGTTTCCTCGTCGCTTCTTCATCATTATAATATCCCTTTGCACATATATTTCCCAAAAAGATGATTTCTCCAATTTCTTTCCCGTCGCGAGCGACATCTATGAGTTTATCATCCGGTTGATCGGGCTTGATAATGCGGAGATTGAGAGAAGTGAGGAATCCATGTCCTTGACGCGCCATGCGGTTGTATTTTTCTTTCAATGGGATGTCTTCCCAAATAGGCATGTGGTAACCTTTGGTAATAGGACCATAAGTTTCCGTCATCCCATAAACATGGACTGGAATGAGATTAAGATTTGTCATTGTTTCGAAAAGATGAGCTGTAGGTGGTGATGCGGCGACGGTGACGCGGACTGGATTTGGGAGTTTGGCTGCTTCTTTCGAGGCGCAGAGGAGCGTGTTTACAGTAGGTGCGGCATTGAAATGGGTGATGGGTCGAGATTTTAATAGATTCCATATCAGAGGATAATCGATCTTGCGAAGACAGAAATGGGTACCCTAACCGCTGTCACAGCCCAAGGAAAAGTCCATCCCACGGCGTGGAACATGGGGAGTGTCCAGAGATAACCACACCTCCCTTTATGAAAATTCAACCCCGATTCCACCACATTTCCCATAGCAGCAAGATATGCTCCCCGATGAGTATAAACCACCCCCTTTGGTTTCGCCGTCGTTCCACTCGTAAATGGAATCGCAATCGTACCATCTTCATCATCAGCCTGCGCATGCAATCCATCCCAACCCCTCCCCCCATTCTCCCCATCATATTTCAAGCCCTCCAAAACCGCATGATCGAATTCCCCTTCATCTCTCTCCGTATCCTCATCCACAATAATTTTCACTCCTTGATTTCTTCCCCTGTATCCCTCCAACAACTCCACAAATTCCCTATCCACAATGATACAATCCACCTCCGCAAACTCAAAGATATAAATGATATCCTCCTCCTTCAATCGATAATTAACTCCCACATGTATCGCCCCCGCAGCCGCGACACCAAAGATACTCTCGAGAAAAGCAGGCGTGTTTGGAGATAATATTCCTATTCGAGAGAATTTGTGGTTTTTGAGATAATATGCTAAGCCGCGAGAACGATCTGCAAATTCCTGATAAGATCGTGTAATTGTTTGTCCGTTCGCAGTGACATGATGAATAGCTGGAGCATCAGGTTCAATCGCTGCTGCGCGGGGAAGAAAAAACGTAGGGGAAAGGGTATGGATGTGATGTTTTGGAGCTGGCAGCGTTGTTGAAGATGTGTTTGATCCAGAAGAAGGTAATAAATGATTAACCAGACTCTGAAGCCTAGAAGTAGGACCTGACATTTTGGAGTCCTAATTTGATGTGAATGATTTCGAACAGTTCCCTAGCCCAGTATCGGTGCCCTGAATAATCTTGTCGACTCGACGTCTCTCGGAAGCTTTTATAATTACTCTCTCTATCTCTGACTCCGTCCTCAACTCGGCACTACGCCTCTTTGGCCTAGTTCCCTCGCCTCGTAATTTCTCTTGACGATCCGATCCGTTGTCTCAAACCCTTCGTTTAAGCTCGTGTTTCTTTCTCTGACTTTATCGGATCTGGTGGGTGTGTATCAATCGGTCAATCGATGTAACTTCAATCTCTGCCTTGAAATTCGTAAATATAACTCTGAATAAACAATCCCAATCGACCAAACCATCAATCAAATCAAATCAAATCAGTTCAAATCAAATGAAATCCCACTCGAACCCAACTAGATCTCCCCACCAAAAGACCCGATCGATGAGTAAACAAAGGAGTTAATAAGTATCCTGATACACATGAAATCTTACATAGCCCAACATCTATCCATCCAGATCCAGGATAACAAAAACATTTATACTTTTATACTTTACCAGCCAGAACTAGAGGCCCTCCTCCCGCCGCAATAATGTGGAGTAACTTACAAGTGCATCCCACAAAATCTAATTACCCCACCATCCCCCTCTCCAATCCAACAATCCAATGCATCCAACCACACAAATCCAACCAATCATCCCCGATAATCCACACTCCCTTCATCCTCGGCAATGCTCAACCCTTTGCAAAGGAATGAATTCCGCCCCGCTCGGCATCGGCTTCGGAGCTCCGGAGCGGGTACTCTGGTTACTTTTCTACTTCATCGACTTCATCGTGCGTCTATCTTGCTTGATTTACGAATAAATTTGATGATGATCTCAATTGAACATCATAATCATGTGCATTGTAATCATATTCCTATCCAGGTAATCCGTGAAGACGGGAACTAATGGGAAGGAGTTACAAATGACCCAAAGGTGCTTCAAGAGAACATGAGAACGTAGAATTGGAAATTGGAAATTGGGAGTTGGGAGTTGGTGATAAGAGGTATATGCAAAGCACTTCAAGGATTCAGTCGTCCACCACAATTATTTTATAGGTTTGGGAATCTAGAAATCTTTGGTTCTACCTATGGGTATATCAGTTGAGCTGTGAAAGGTAGCCAACAAATTACATCATATCATGATGATCTTTATAAGCTCAATTTTCAAAAGATCCATCATACTCTCTCCAACAAAACTGCTCTGTGAATTCACAAAGAATTTAAAGTAACTTGTACCAAACCGATGCTCATTCATAAACTGTAACTAAAATGGATTTCAATATTATTTTTCACAATTCCACTTCCATTTCCACAAGACCAAACGCAATGTATTCATTCTTGATTCATGCCTTGGGCTTTTCATTTCGCTATGAACTGCATGCAAGCCGAAGCAATACACATCAGAGTTCCTTGCTGCATCAGACTCCTTTTGCCATTACAGCATTTCCCAATATTGTGTAAATGGTAAATGAATACCAGGCCTTGAGATCTTCCAATGAATGGTAGAACAAAGCATTGACGTTGTTATTGTTGAAAAGAAGAAACCGTTAAACAACCCAATCCATCCACCCAGCAGCGCAAAATCACATCAAATAAGGTCCAGGATATTTAATAGCCGAGAGCAGCCAACTCAGTCTTGGTCTTATCGTCGATCTTAGCGGACTTCTGGGCTTCTGAAAGCTGCTTGCGTGCGGCCTTCTTGCGCTCGTAGTATGCTGCGCTCTTAACCTTTCTTCTCTCCTCAAGTCTGTAATCATTCGTATTAGTAACCATCTCGGGATAATCCGGACTTCAACCCAATCCCAAAGAATTTACTAACCTAGCGACAACATCTTGGTATTTCCATCCGACCTCGTGGCTCAATCTACCGACAGTGCAGTATTTGCGTCCAGGCTTCAATCTCAACACTCTCAAAGCTTGGGGAACGACAACGCGCTTGACTTTGTCGTATGGTTGTGGAACACCCTCGAAAACCTTAAGTCTCTCCATGGCGGCGGCACCACGGGCGGTCTTGTGAGGAATCATACCACGAACGGTCTTGTAGAAGATTCTGGATGGGGCACGGAAATGGAAAGGACCTATTCGTAAGAAAGTCAGGATATTTTCCTTGTATCGAATGCGAATCGCAGAATCGCAATTGGCGGATTATGATATCTTACCTCCACGGGTTGGGTTGTATCTGGTCATCTTTCGGAGGTAGGCGTGGTACTTGACTATTATCGAAATTGAATCAGTCTTCCATCATTTCATATATTCCACCCAGACGCGACATCAAATCCATCATCTCCAATCCCATCGCAATTTCAAATAAAGGTAAAAACGTACGCTTCGCACGGAAGAACTCTCCAGAGATGTTCAAGGCCTCACATCGTACAACGACGATCTTCTGGCCGTTGAGCAACTGCTTTGCAACAGTGCTTGCAAGTCGACCAAGAAGGTGACCCTTGGCATCGATCGTGATCTATTAGAAGAAGTCCAATATCAGCAATTCGTTCCTATTCGTGTTCGTCCATATCGCTGAGTCCCCCAAAAACCATTTCCCATGATTGTTGTCGCAAGATATTGAATTTGGCTTTGGTTGCCATGGATATATATGGAATTGAGCACTTACGACTGGCTCGAAGGTCGACATCGTGTCCTGGATAAATTGTCAGAATGAAATCGAAAGGCGTACAGGAAATCAAATTGCTCTACCTTCGTTATTTAATGAGGGCGGTGTCGTGGTTTGTCGGTTGGTCGTTGTCTTCAAATTCCTTTACGGTTGATGGATTCTCCAAATTGACACCGGTTTTCGCGCTAAAAATATTAGCCGAGTCCCAGGGCTAACAACCCCAATTTGTTGAAAAATTGAAAAGAATTATTTATTGAATGAGGCAAAAAGATGATGATGATGAATCAATAATTTTTTCCTCAATGTCAATGTTTATTTAATTTTATGTTGAACTCACTTTGATCATGTACAGTATTGTTGGGAAAATTGAAGTTGACGATGTGTGCGATTGCAGCCTTGTCATTTTTACGTTGATCGAATTTTCACTTCAAGCAAGCCTCGCCAACCTGATGGCAGATAATAAGGCAGCAATTTTGATCGCATGAATAGACAAGTGATGTCAAATATTTCAAATTAAAGTGATAGATATGTTTAAGGCGACTTCTATACGGTCCAGTAAGTGATGATTGCAAGATGGTGCACGAGGCAATCAACCATTTGTGTAATTGGAATGATTCGGACACTTCTTATCAACTAGGCACTTGGAACTTCCACAATACTCGAACATCCAGGAGAGCATGAAGTCGGATATTTAACACGGCTGCGGAGTTGCAAAATTCATCAAGATATTACCTAGGTACGGTACGCAGACTTTCGATGTACCATGCAGTTGTAGAGTAGCATGCAACAAAATGCTCCGAGTAAAAGTGTCAAAGCCCTTTTAGTTATTGTTACAATTGTGATCTCACATGTTGCAAGAGGCAAAATGGGTTATACACGTTAGTCTTGACATACATTCAATTCCTGTAATCTTTAATATAAACACACTGGCCAAATAGCATATACATGCATTTCCAGAATATCAAACCACAAGTCACATCATGCTCATGTTCATGCTCCTCGATACACACCGAATGATCAACCCTCTCGCATCTTTCCCATGTGTCAATGACGCTCACCCCTGCACATCAATTCAAGCCCCTCCTTTCCCATCATCAACTTATTAACACCTATTCCATCTATGCAGTACGCCATGCCAAATTGCAAAAATTGCGAGATACAATTCCTCCCTAGAAGTGGAGAAGCCCAACCATACCCAGTATATGCATAGCATCCCAATAGAACAAATTTTGTAAATGCAACAAAAGATAGATGCATTCCTCAATGCAGAAGTAATCTGGAGTCGAAGTTTGGTGATTGATTCACTTCTACCTCCCAAACAAAACTGACGTAGCCGAAATTAAACCCCTTATTCTGCACCTGGAACCATTGAATCAAGTTCATTAAGAACATCTTGAACCTTTCTCACAAGAGCTTTCCTAGTTTCCCTCGCCGTTTGATCACCTTCCGTCTCAACCGCATCCAACTTCAATAGTACTTGTCCCATAATAGTCTCGCTCAACTTCTTATGTTCGAAATCCTTCTTCTTCTGATCTTCCGGTGGACTCGCAATGAATGCTTCTGCTAACGGTAAGATATCGTTGTGGAAGGTATCTGAAATAGCATTTAATTTATCGATTGGTGTTTTGGGTGTTGGGGGAGGGATTGGGGAAGCTGTTCTGGAAGTCGCAGATGATTCCATTTGTGGTGTTTGGAGATTGTTATTGCTCTTCTTCTTTCCCTTCTTATTCTTCGATTTGCGAATTCGTTTCCTGAGCTTGGCGGCAGTCCCTTCTACTTCTTCGCTTTCATCTCCTGAATCTTCACTTCCGGTTGCTGCGTCCCCGACAATGCAAAGAACTTCCGACTCATTTCTTATTCCATAACTTCGAACAAGTGCATGATCATCCTTTAATTGCTGTCCCTTGTAAACCAACTTCAACTTCCTCCAATTCGAAACTTCCATCAAGGCGGCAGCTCTTTTCCTTACATCACTGACTTCTAACTTTCCATCCCCAATACTGTAAGCTGGGAATTTTACTGGATATGTAATCCCCTTGTTCTTCACCAATAGCACATCATCTTCCTCTTGTGCAGAATGAGGTGGTCTCAAATGTGGATCGTAGATTCTTCTTGGTTGCTCCAAATCCTCACCAGTGATATATTCATAATCCTCATCTTGGACTTGCGGTGGATTACCTCGGCTCGAGAAAGGACTCAAACGACTGGCACCACCACTGAACCAACTATTTCCCCAACGACTCATACTCACAGCAGCCGCAAGTATAACAAAGGCGCTACCCGCTAATGCTGTAGGGGGAACCTGATCAATATGTGTATATTTTGCAGCTTGTTCGATGTAAGCTTGAGCGGGTTCAGGTATTTGCGAATAGGCAGATTGAAGATGTTGAACGGTCGTGTCAAGATAGGTTTGAAGAGAATCAGGAAGACGTTGAATGGCAGAAGACAGGGTGCCACCTTGCGAGTCCAAAACGCGGGAAGCCACCTTGGCTGATTTTTGTATTTAGTCCTGTGGAGGGGACTTTTTCCTTGAGAAAACTTGTGAATGTGATATGACAAGGCTTTCGATATATGTGGGATGTAGGGTTTAAGGTGGGGTGATTGACTCGTATGTTAAGGCTTGCGATGACGGGGTCTCGAAGCTGATGGAAAGATGGAACAATTTGGATTGTAATGGATTTAATGTTGTCTTTTGTCTTTTAATGCGCAGAAGATGTGATTGATGAAGATTGATTCTGATTAAGAATTTGATGGCGGTGAGGATGATCAAGCGAGTAGAATGAGAGTCAGAGTGAGAATGAGATATTATCGTGTACAATGCTAGATTTCGATAGAGGTCAGAGTGAATGTCAAAAAGTATTCTGAGGCCGAATGTATGATGGGGTCTAGAAAGGGTTCAGATGATATCAATCCTGTACTAGAGCGAGATGATATCTGTCCATTCGTCGATTGCCGGCCGCTTTTTGAGTTTTTCCTTTACAGTACCGTACTGTACCGTACCGTACCGACTGTCCGTAGAGTACTGACTGTACATGTATCCTCTCTTCCACCGAGAATGATCGAGTATCTCACAATAAATAAGACATACTAATAAGTAAGACAGAGGACATAGGATACAATGCAAAGGACTCGTCGATTTCTTACTCTACTCACTCACTCACTCACTCACCTGATAGTGCTCAATAACCTCAACATCGGTTCCTCGAATCGTCCATCCGTATCAAACAGATCACAGGGCTGTATGCCAACACACGTTTCTCTTAGCAGATCAATTACAAGCAAGTACTACCGAGGGATGGATGCTTTGCCTCACTCTTGCATGATTCCATTCTACCTTGATGATATTCACAGTGCAATGTTCACCTTATCATCCTCGAGCCACTCAAAGCTTCACATTCAATCGATGGAGAGAAATCCCATAATAACAACATCCATGGATACTCGAGACAGTCTCCATACAATGATAAATTTGTCAGCACAAGCATTCAAATCACTCAATTACTCTCTCTGTACGTACGAGGGTAATAATAACAACAGTCCAAAAGTCCAAAAGTCCAAAAGTCCACAAGTCCACAGCTCCTTTCGAAATCCGAAATCCATCCCAAAGCTCCCAGCTGATCTACAGAGTACCATGCCTTCCATTTCCATGCCTGTCCAGTGACGCAATATCCCAATAAAATCGGCAATCACAGCTGGCTAAGTGCACCGCAACAGGTCCTTCGTACGTGATTACACAACCCTCCATGCCCTCTCAATTTCTAGAACCTCTCCGCCCCTCACCCAATTGCTAATCAAACCACCTCGTAAACCACACTCAAATCAACCCCTCCTTCCCAAGCCAAAAAAAATTCAACCACCATCATCCGTCCATCTCTCCTTGAATAAATCACACCTACTAGTACTCATTCCGGAACTCCCCATCCCCATCCACATTCTACATTTACATATAAACCACCCCACCCACCTCACCTACAAGACCTAGGTATAAACCGGTCTCCTACCATTCGCCCATCATTAATATCTTCCGTCGTTTCTTCACCACCACTCCGATCACCGCCGCCAGAATGTCTGCTGCTCAAACAAAAGCCGAGGGCATTATTGATGGAAATGCTGTTGGTATGTTTTGATTTTTTCCCTCCATCTCTTGATTGCTTCATTGCATCCTCTTATGGTGGTGCGGTAGAGATACTTAGCTATGCTGCTATGTATTCTCCGGATACGAAACTCATCTCTTCCTCGAGTAATCTCTGAGATTGCTCGAAGAGAGTAGTATGGGATGCTACGATGAGAAATCGAGAGAAGACAAGAGGGGATACATGAGAATATCACATTCAAATCAAATAACTAACCAATCCACCCCAGCCGTCTTCAGCAAATCCTACTGTCCATACTGCAACGCCACCAAGAAGCTCTTGACCGAATTGAAAGCAGACTTCTACTCGATCGAGCTTGATCAAGTTGGTATGTTTACCCTTTTCTTTCACTTCCTCCCCCCTCCTTCTTCGTAACTTCTTCCTCCCCTCAAATATCATCAACTAACTCTCCCCCTCAGACGACGGATCAGCAATCCAATCCTACCTTGCCGAAAAGACAGGTCAAAGCTCCGTCCCTAACATCTTCATCGGTAAGAAGCACATCGGTGGAAACTCTGATTTGCAGGCGAAGAACAAGAAGGATTTGGAGAGTCAGTTGAAGGAGTTGAATGCTATCCAGGCTTAGAGGTTTCTTGAGGGGATTGTGCTGATGGATCAGAGGGAAAAGAAAGTGGATGAATTGCATGCTTATATGAAGTGCATAGAGTAGCTCATATGCTGGGATTGGAGCAATGAATCGATGAATATGATACATAAAGATTGATTTATTTACTCGTGTTTTGTAATGTGTCATGCCATGCTATACCATACCATGCCAGACCTTCCGTTTCATATCATATCATCGTAACAATACTCATACAGACAAACATATATACATGCACTGAAATACAACCCCGAATTTACACCCTCACCATTCCCTCCACACTCCCAACCGGACGTTCCACAAATCTCATGACCCCCTCCACCACACTCCTCCTCGCCTCCTCACTACTCACATTCGCACCCGCCAGATATCCCAACCAAATGCCCCTACTAATCCTCTCATCCCTCACCTCTCCCAACCTCTGACTCCCACTCACCCCATCCTCATACCACACTCCCAACTTCCCACTCTCATCCCGACTCAACAAAAGTTCCCGTCCCTTCGGTACACTCCCCCTATTAAACAACGCCTTGAACTCTCCCATCGCCTTCCCAAACGCTTCATCCCCAAATTCCTCTCTATTTTTCTGAGCCCGCGCAGTAAGACTACGTACCCACGCGTCGCGCAGATGATGGAAATCTGTATTCCGCGTTGGGACAATGCGGACGATAGATTTTATTTCTGGATTTTTGAGAATCGCAGACCAGATTTCTTCGCTGCGGGAGGGATCGAGAAGCATAGCTTTCAAGGCATCTTTTTCGTTGGCGACGAGGGTGGAAGCCCCGTTTGGAGCGGCGAGTTGGAGCAGAGAGGTTTGGAGAGTGGGGATTGAGGAGGGGGAGATGTACAGACCGAGGACGTAGACTTGGATGTGGAGGAAGGAGACGGTGCGGATGCCGAGACCGAGGAGTTGGTAGGATTCTGGGGGGGAAGTGGAGGGGGCGTCGGAGAAGTGGAGGGTTTTGGGGAAGGTTGGGATGGTGCTGGTGCCGGTGGGGACGAGTTCTTCTTCTTCTTTTTGCTTTTCGATTGCGGATGGAGAAGATGCGGGGGGGAGAATGGTAACGGGCGTGGATGAGGAGAGTGAGTTGCTAGATCGAGATGTATCGAGTTTTGAAGGCGAAGGTATCTCGATTGAGGTTGCGGTTACCCAGATGCAGACCATGCCGACGAGGAACCCGGAGGCGGAATAGAGAGTACGGCGTTTGTAGTAGGCGCGACGGGTGGCTTCGAGTCGGTGGAGGGAGATCGGATCGAGTTGAGGGGTTGAGGGGGCTTTGCTGGTTATTGTGCGGGTGGGTGTGCGGAGGGGAGAGAAGCATTGTCGTTTGGGGAGAGTGCGCAGTGTGCGGGATGTGAGGGGGAGGAAGGACATTTTGGTGGGTTGTAGTGCTGATGGGTTGGGGGATGGAGGTGCGTCGTGTGTTCTGTGTTGTGTTATGTTATGTTGGGTTAGGTTAGGTTTTGTGTATATACCTGAGAAAAGGAATTGAGGTGGGTGGGTGAGGAGTGAGTAGTTTAGATATGACCTGATTTGATGATGGATAGATGGATAGATGGATGGAGCTTGCACGCACCCTCCCTCGCTCGCGTATTGAGAAGCTTTTTAGTGGAATCTGGGGAAAAGCTAAAAGCTAAAATTGATTTTTTTCGGAAAAGAAGGTGATCTGGATGATTTAATTGGTTTTTGCAGTACGTATAAGGATTTGTATTATTGTTTGCTTCTAGATTATAGAGTATATTTATGATTCTTTTTATCTATAACATACTAGGTAGGTACTTGAATAGATATCTAGATATTGATGTGTTGGAATTGATTCTGTCTGTAAGTATGATGTTTTTCATAGGAGTAGTCTGTCTGACCGTGATTTGATTTCATAATGACTTCTTGTATTGGATAATATTAGATAGATAATAGATCAGTTAATGGTTCTTTCTTGACTTTATATATCTATTTACATATATACATATAATTATCTACTCCCTTCCAGTACCTATGTATGTAGATATATTATCTCGGATTTTGATGAGTCTTTAAGTGCTATTAGGTAGATAGATTGGTAGGTAGATAGATATCCTTCCTCCTGACATCATCATCATCATCGTCAACAACAAGTCATTAATTAGACTTCCATATACCTACAGGAAAGGAAATTCTAGACTACCTACCTAGTAAGGTTTACACTACATTACCCGAATAATGTGATATGATGTAAAGTGGTTTTTGACTAGATATGAGGTTGGATTATCTTTCCTATTGCTCTCCATAAGCGGGTATCTAGTTTATAGATGACGCTCCGCTAGTTCTTCAGATACTACTTATATAGATACTACCTATATAGATACATAGATAACGCTCCGCTAGCCCTCCGGGGGCCACTGCCGTGGAGGCAGACTATTTGGATAAATAGAAATCACAATGTTCGATCAATAAAACTTTGACGAATTAAAGGTCTAATCGTTCTAGATGTTATTCACATCTAAGTCTATAAATAGATTTGGATATGTTTTTGATAGGATGATATGCACCTTGAATAGTTTTCATCACTTCAAGGAGTTTGAATGTAGATGATTTGATGATTGTTTTTCTGATTGAATCAATTTGTAATTGTTGAGGTATCAGGTTCCTCTGTAGATGAGATGAGAGAGATATTAATATCTTCAATGAATCGTTTTAATAGACAGAATCGAAGAATCGAACAATCGTTGTCGTTCGCCAGCCAAAGAAAGATTCTTATATATCAATTGTATTGCTTACTAAGGACTGTACCAACACACACATTTGATCCATCACTCTCTCCCTTATCAAGCTTCTTGCCTCAAACCACAATCCCACCAAACCCTCCAAGCCCTCCAAACACATATTTACCCTGCAAAGCACAACATCCAGAACGGAACTTCTTCCTGCAACCAAGAGCCAATGCAAAATCTAAGCCAAAGCCTCCAAAACTTAAAACATTAAATAAGAAGAACACAACTCGATCAAATATTGCTTGTTCCCATCGCTCAATTTCCCTGGAAACAAAATTGATAAATAAAGTACAACCTCCCCAACAAATACCTTTCAGAATTCAAATCTTTCGGGGAAAAGGGATTCAACTTTGTCATTCATAATTATTCCCAGAAATCTACGAAATTCGCGACATTTTTATTCTCCCTTACATACCCAAAACCCTGGGAAAATCTTCCATGATATCGACGAGGCTGAGCAACCCACAATTGTCAGCAACCTCCTCATTTCACCCCTTTGAACGACATTGGTCTCGATATCGATTTATCAACTGCCTCAAAACGTAGCGCCAAATCTAGAAAAGCATCCCGGCTATCGTTCCATCACTGCTTCCCACTTCAGGTACTTCGACTACATCATTTCCCTTCATTCATCACGATGAAGGGTCGACCCACGATGCCTCTCATCAACTCCGGTTTTCCATCTCGTGCGACTCCTGACATAGGTGATGATTCGCATTCATCTACAAGTAATTCCCCCGCGCGTGCCGATTACGAAGAATCCGATTTCTTCGCTGGAAACAACGATTCACAATCTTCAATCGGCGTACCAACTTTTCAAGATATGGCTGTCACAGAGACATGTATATCCGCATCCAATAGACTGCCCGCAGAAGTTCTCATCAACATATTCGCAAAACTTACCCATCCAAACGACATTTTATCTTGCATGCGAGTATGTAAGAAATGGGCTAGGAACAGTGTGGATTTATTATGGCATCGACCGGCATGTTCGACATTTCCGAAACTCGGGCACATCTGCAACACACTCACCTTGGAAAATCCCTACTTCGCATATCGAGATTTCATCAAAAGATTAAATTTGGCTGTTTTAGCAGATCGCGTCAGTGACGGAACTGTTCGACCTCTTTCCGTATGCACAAAGGTGGAAAGATTAACATTGACCAACTGCGAGGGTATCTCAGATAGTGGATTGACCGAGTTAATTACCGATAACAGTCACTTACTTGCTCTGGATATTTCTGGAGTGAAACAAATTACCGACACTTCCATGTTCATTTTGGCGGAGCATTGTCGTCGATTACAAGGTCTAAACATATCGCAGTGCGTTGGAATTACTTCAGAATCGATGGTGAAAGTGGCGGAGAGTTGTCATCACCTCAAACGGGTAAGTTACCTGAAATTGATGTAAAATTCATACTGACATGACTTTCAGCTCAAATTGAATGAATGTGAGCAACTAGACGACAGGGCTATCATGGCGTTTGCTCAAAATTGTCGTAACATTCTCGAAATCGATCTCCACCAATGTAAAAATATTGGAAACGACCCAGTAACTAATCTCATCACACATGGAAATGCTCTCCGGGAACTTCGATTGGCAAATTGTGAATTGATTACCGATTTGGCATTCCTTAACCTACCTCATAAAGCGACATATGATCATTTACGGATATTGGATCTTACAAGTTGTCATCGACTCACAGATGCTGCTGTTGAGAAGATTATAGCTGTTGCTCCAAGATTAAGGAATTTAGTCTTCGCAAAATGTAGACTCTTGACGGACCATGCCGTTCATTCCATTAGCAGGCTGGGAAAGAATCTTCACTACCTTCATCTTGGACATTGTGGACAAATTACTGATGCTGCTGTCATTAAACTTGTTCAAGCATGCAATCGGATTCGTTATATCGACCTAGGTTGTTGTGTTCACCTCACAGATTTATCCGTCACAAAGCTAGCTACTCTTCCTAAACTAAGGCGTATCGGGTTGGTCAAGTGTGTAAATATCACCGATGAAAGTGTTATAGCATTAGCCGTCGCACAAAAACAACGACAATTAGCTCACCGAGGACATCATATCGATGAACCAGCCTATAATGGGAGTTGTCTCGAAAGAGTACATCTTAGCTATTGTGCTAATTTAACACTCCAAGTAAGTGGGAAACAACTGTGCATGAGGCTTTGTACTAACAAAATTACAGAGTATAATATTACTACTTAAAAATTGTTCGAAATTAACACATCTGAGTTTGACTGGTGTTCACGCTTTTCTTCGAAGTGATCTCGAACAATTTTGTAGAGAGGCTCCCGCAGGTAAGTTATTTACTTTATGCTTCCCTTCAATTTATTGACACAACTCAGAATTTACCGAACATCAACGTAATGTATTTTGTGTCTTTTCTGGACCTGGTGTGAATGGTCTACGCAATTTTTTAACTCGAGATTTGACTATGGAGTTGAATCAGGTAGCTCCTGAGGACGAAGGAGTCCTTTCTATTGAAGATGTTACGAATTCACAACAGCCTCTAGGGGCTCAAGATGACCAGATAATGTCTGGAATGATGAATGCCACTGCATTAAGTCCCGATGAAAATGACGGTGATGACGACGAGGTATTGGATGCAGTATTTCCTTGATACTCATTCGATTTACCACGTAATCCAGTATCTTATAGCACTTCATAAGCTATCACTTTAAGGATATTAGACATACGATACACTCTAAATAGAGGTCAGGGAACGTACATCGGTATATCCAATCATTGGGAAATGGAGTTAAGGAGTGGGCAAGGAATAATTAATGGACGTACATACCCAATTAATTACGAATCGTCTTTCGCATATCAGTCTGTTTTCGGAAGGGAATGAATGAATGAATACATGGAGGTTGTCTTCATGGTACATAGATATCTTTTCAACAAGCGAGGGCGCGACGGGATTGTAAAGGCGTAGTATTTGTATATACGCATTTCTTGGCGCTTTGGGTGATGATGAATCGTGGATTTGATGGAAGGCTTTTTGTTTTTTTGCGAAGGTGGGTGCAATATGGAATGATTGGTTGGGTGGATGGGATGGAATGGGATGGAATGGGCTTTATATGAGGGCATGGGTGGAGGTACAGTTCTATTACATCAATCAATCAATCAATCAATCGTTTCGCGAGTGGTTTACCTCGAGATTCGCTAGTATTGTAGATGGTATTGATCAAGTGGGACATTTGTGTCTAGATAAAAGACGTACTGATCCGATGAGTGGTGATATAATTCCCAACTCATTAATGGATGTTTAGATTTTTATCTGGACAGGTAATTGTGATGGCTCGAGTGGAATTGAGTGGATGGGTGGATAGTAATATGGTATGGTAGAAGTACCTAGTAGAATATGATATTATGCTATTGATTCAGTTTATTTCTATTCAACGTGATGATATGATAGGTACTTGTTTGATTCTTTTAACTTTTAACTTTCTTTTATCTTTAATCTTTTATCCTTTCTTTGAAAAATCTTGAAAGAGAGGTGTGTGGCTGACGGTCTGTCAGGGGGGTACGTCATTTGTGTGTGGTCTTGTGGTCTTGTGGTCTTGTGGTCTGGATTTTGGGATTTGTATGGGATTTGGGATCTAGAGCAGGGAAAGAAGGAGAGAAGGATAGAGGTGAGGGAAAGAGGGAATGGGGATTGGGGGGAGTAGGGAAGGTGGGTTGGGGAGATTTGGTTTGGTAAGTGGGTGGGAGGTAGGTATATAAAGACTTGGATATCTCTCTCTTTCTTCCTTCCTTTCTTTCTTTCTGAACGAGGATTCTCTTTGAGATTCGATACATGTCAAACTTACATACATAAGACACCTACCCAGATCCAGAACGAACATACAAATCAAAAATACATACATAATTTGCGGCTACTTACAATTAAGCATTACCGGAAAGTGCATATCTATGAGTTCGGTAGTTGTCTGTGTTGGACTTGGATTCATCGACGCGAGACTTGGAACTTCAAAGTCCTGAAGGTGAAAATTGGAAATCGGAAGAGATTAGAAGAGATTATCAAGGAAATTCAGATTTGTGGATAGTTGAATATGCATTCTATTAAGTTCGTTGCTCTTTCTTTTTTTTTTTTTTTTTTTTAAAAAAAAAAGGGTTTGGATTGGAAAGGGGAGTTGAGATTTGAGATTTGAGATGAGGATCTGGATCTGGATCTGGATGTACTTGTAGTTTTGGTTTTGAGATTTGGTTATGCTTGAAGTTCAAGATTATGTGTATGGAATGGGTTGTTGCTATTGTAGAGTTCTGGATGGAAAGAATGGAAAGGATGAAAAGATTGAGAATATACTGATTCGGTGTGCTTGCTCTGTGTAGGAACGCCTCGAATTATGTTGCGGAAAAGACGAAGGCTGGGGGAAAGGAGAGTAGTAAGGAGATGAATAAGAGTGAGTTCTATTTTCATTCTTAGCATTAGGAGTGAAATTACCAGGCTAATAGGGTTGCGTGTTAGGTATAGCAAAGGATCGTAATATGCCAATTAGTACTCGTGTGCATGCGGCTGTGAAGGCGGTGGGTGATAAGATTGAGAAACATGGTCATGATGTATGGATTCCTTTTTTCTTTTTCTCGAGTGCTTCTTGTTGGGTAGTGAAGATGAGACTGTGGTGTTTGGAGAGTTGGTGAGGTGTTTTTATGAGGGAAGGTTGTTTTTAGTGATGGTGTGGGTGATGGTGTGGGTGGAGTGGATGGTTAGGGGCAAGGGAAATGAGAGTGAGAGCGAGGGAAAAGGGGGTTTGGGCTTTGGGTTCTGGGACGATGGGAGAGGAGAAAAGAGGCATAAAAGAGAGTGAGGGTGAAATACATAAGCTAACAACTTTGGGATGATAGGCAAAAGCGTCATATCATAAGGAAGTCGTCAAGCATTAACGGTCTAAATTGGGAGTTTACGGGGTTGAAGGGAGCTTTAGCGAACGGTGCGAACGGTGGGGTCTTTGTATTGGAGAGACAGTGTAGGATTGAGCTGAGACGTGAGTTGAGTCTCTGATTAGGAAAGTGAAAGAGGGTAGCTGGTCTGAATGAATGATGTGAGCTGTAGCGCTATACCTGGAGTTGATATCTTGGGGACTGGAAGTTCATTGTTAGATCCGGAGTGGCGAATTAATTGTCTTTTCAAATTGCTTGTTGATTTCTATCTATCAACTCAACTTTTGTCTATATCGACTAGTCAATTCAAGTGAATACTGTGGCTTTAAAAATGCAGGTACAACTCATTAAAGCATTGTATATTGAGGTTTTCCTTTTAAATTTATATTTTGAATTTTTGGGGGGTTTTTTCTTCTCAAAATTCAAAGAAAACTAATAAACAAACATTTTTTTCCTTCTTCCCCCCCCCCCCCCCCCTCCTACCTCATTCTTTCTTATACTACAAGGGTAACAATAAATTCATGTTACTGTAATATCAATCTAATTATTGACAAAATTCACACGTAAATCTATATTCGAGATCTACACTTTAGTTAGATCAGATGCCAAGCGTTGGGGAGTTCAAGTGGACCTACCATCTGTGTAGCTTCATTTCATTTCAGTCTCGAGTTTCATTTCGTGAGCATCCACCCATCAAACCTTTCCTGTAAACACCCGCTTGCCCTTCTCTTAGACTCCCCATTTCACAAACGCCAAACAGATGACTAAAGTCGACCAAGTCCAAAATTCCGTTGCGATATTCAAATATCTTCATTGTACGTGTACGTGTGGTCAATGGACTACAGTAGTACAGACTCTAAAACCTTCCAAACGTCAAAGCGCTCAACTCATATATTCAAGTCTCCATATCTTAGACTGACTGCCAAGGCGTCACATCCAAGATAGGGTCCATGTCCAAGATGGGCTTCATAGTAAAGATGATCTTGCCGGCCCTTTCAAAAAGTTTTTGAACGCCGGCATAAACATTTCGAGTGACTTGAATGGGTGCTCCCCTGGGATCCCAGTGGATATAAACACCCTTCTCTAGATGAAGAAAGCATCTCCCATCTCCTCTCATTGGGGCTTTGACTTTTTGTCCCTGGTTTTGGGAAATGGAGTTTTCAGACCCGCGTTTTTCTGGATATAAAGGTAGAGACGAAGACGAAGAAGACGGTAAGACTTTTCCACTGGTAAACTCAAATGGTATTTCACCTTCGGATTCTACGTCGAAAAAATCTTTACCCATGAATACTTCTGCGTGTTCATGGTCTCGGGCAATTGCGGAGCCATTCAGACCTACAGCATCCCCTAAAGCACATACTTGAAATTCTAATCCATGCCAGAATTGACTGTTGCCAGAATGTTCATGTTCTTTTATGTAGTCTTAAAAATCCTTTTCTAGTTGCACCCCGTGATTCAATCTGTAGTTGAAATGAGTCTGGATTCCAACGATAGGCAGTCCGGATTTGTTCCTATCCCCCCAAAACTGATTGTGTATTGGTGCATCAACCGGGCTCATGATAATCCTCCGGACAGAAGGATAGAGTGGTAAGAGATGATGCTCGTTTGTTTCCCATCCATCCTTTCGCCCAGGTACATTGCTATGATTGTGCCAATTGAGCTGAAATAAGTAGATTGCAGTGTTTCTTTCACCAAGAAGGATATATTGGATACTGGAAATCTGTGGGCAGCACTGGGTAATGAAATTCCACATATCTTTGCTTGCAATATTCTTCTCCTTATCTGCAGGGAGATCTCCCGGTTCCTCAATACGCACAAGAGCATTCCTTGCACTGTCAACTTCTAAGACGACGAGATTCTCGTTAATATCGGGATCTTCCGAATGATAGCCATTACCTCTATCAGAGATCAAGAGTCCAGAGCCTTCAACTACCTCATATCTCCCATCATTTCCCGGTGGCTTCCACAATGGACGATACTCGATGCTGGAAGTATATGCTATTGACCTTAGCTTTGAGATGTTATGGTCCAATCCCAAATCGCCATTGACCAAGGAAAAAAGTACGGGATCCATAATCAAAGTCTCGCGATCCATGCAGATAAAACCACGAACAACAACGTAGAATCATCTCCCATTCGAATTCAAATAATATTTGTGCTCGTGTGGTATCATATGGGATCGAGCCGGGTAACGAGCCGCGAGGCTTACACATTGTGTATTTCTGCAGTGACCAAAAACGTGCGGCTTCACTCCCAATTTGACTTCCCATTCATGCGATATATAATTGGACCTCGGATATGATATAGCTTTGCTGCCAGATTGCACGCTATTCCTGACAGGCACATCGAAGGGGCGATTTCTCGGGCTGAGTCTTGTCTCCTCGGTAGAGGTCATCCCCATTTTCGTAGAAACAGAATTGCAAATTGAACTGTCCCCATGTGTCGGGACGGTTGAGAAATTGATGGATCTGTGCCCGTGTGCTCGTTGATGACATGTGGATGATACGTGGTTCGGGTAAACTGTATTTCCAGATTTTGGCTCGGATTTCGTTTGGGAGGTCCATAGAGCGGTTGAATGATGGTTCGGCTTCTTGTTGTACAAGAGGGAGCTGGATTGCTATGTCTTCTGATAGGTCCATGGAGTCGGTCATTTTGTGTTGTTGTTGTTGTGGTGGTGGTTATTGGGAAAGGAGATTTTGATTCGAGGTTTGATATTATATTGATGTACTTGTTTAGTATGATGATATGAGATCGGGTGATGTTGAAAGTATGATGTCGAAGATGGTTGAAGATCCAGAGATATGTTGATATGTTGAATAATATGAATATATCAGAGGTAAGATAAGATATCCGAAGGTGAGAGAATCGGGTGATATTGAGAGTGTGAGATCAAAAATAGTTGGAGTGCCCGAGATATTTTTGTTTTCTGGTATATGTTGTATATTGGCATCCTGTGTGTAGATCACTACACGTGGGTTTTTATGATTTCTAGGATTGAGAAAGAATGATACTGTAATGAGATTTCTATGGGGCAAAGCTACCAAAGCTCTCCAGGAGGAAATCATATAATCGATATTCGAGTTACAAAAGTCAATCACGAGCAGATTCCACAACGCAGGGTAAAATCTCACAAAACCTCATAAACTCTCCCCACAAATCCCAAAATCCTCAACATCTCATACAAGGTCTCACAAATCCCCCCAAAACAAACCAATACATCTCATCTCCCACACCATATCACCCCTACAAAAATTCGTCGTGCACTTAAAGTTAAAGTTCTTCGGTTAACGCTAGTATTTAGGGGATGGGATAGTAGCGAGCTAGAAGTTTTAGCCCCCTTTAAAGTTTCCAAATTTATCAATCACGTAAAAGACTAATTACTTTAGAGCTTTAAGAGATCGTTATTATAGATAGATTATGATCTCTCTTTTCTGGAGAGGGATGGGTATTGTGAAGGTGCTCGGAGCATATGTGCGAAGAGTATGTGTGAAGAGCATGTGTGAAGAGATGAGATTTAAAGATGAAGTACTTTGTGGTTTAGTGGTGTTCTGGGATTTTTTTACGGTAGTGATGTTGTGGAATTCTGACTGGTAGATATGAAGATATATCTCTTTATGGGAAGGCGCGATGATGGATCACGATTCGTATTATCTGGTTGTTTGCTATCGAACATACATTTCACATGTCATACCAGAGCCTATTTAATGAGAATCTAATCAATCTTTTTCTCTTGCGTTTTTTTATACATACTTCTCTCTCACTATAATAGCCCGTTAATAAAGAGAACGAGATGAACACTTCCTTTTTCTCTCCATACCTACCACAGCTGTCGACCACTGTTTTTTAGTAGTAGAGAACTCATAATCCATAAGTTTCAAATTTTAAAATACCCTCCCTATAAGTTATAACCACATATGATCATATCCATGAACTTTCGTCACGCGTTATCCCATCCGCATTCAAAATATGATACCCATCGAATCTAGCGACAAACCTACGGTGGTCTTTACATCATTGTTCTCTCGCAGTATATCAGTTCTTGAAGCAGGTCAGTGAGAAGATTCCAGGCTTTCATTTCTCTTGTGGGCGTAACTATGTCTGTTACATTCAATGATGATCTGAAGAGAAGCACACGAAAATACCAATACCAATTTACAAAGACGCGGGAAGAAACACAATCTAGATATCCAGGGTACTCATCTTCGAGACAGACGAGAGTCAAGCCTTCGCTCTCCAAGATCGAGGGAAATACCAATCGTCGATACATGAATTGAGTTACTTTGGACGTTTAGAGTACATTCAATCCTCGAGATGCATTCCGACCTTGAGACGATTTCAAAACTAGAGGTAGATCAAATCTTTAAAACAACTTCCTCCTAACAGCATTACAGCACCAAGCACCACATGAGCATTTCCACTTCTACCTCCACGATCCCATAATCAGACCATCGCGACTGTAGAAATCTAAGCAAATTTGCCTGCACAATTCGAAGAAGAAATATTTTCACAGTTATCAAATCGAACTAAATATGATGCATGTAATCTACAAAAGTGATATGATACAACATACATGATGAAATAAAGCATTTAGATTTAGAAATCACAGCTTTTGGATTTTAAACATGATATCTCAATACAAATCATCCTACTTGATTTTCTTTCAGGGAACTCCCAACCGCAAGGTCTCCGGTGTACATCTGTGTAGAATTTTAATGTTATGTGGCTTGATACAAATGGTGTGGAAGAATCAAGATTTCCAAAGATAATTGGAAAGTTTTGGATCGGGTATGGTCCGCTTCTCTAGCCAACATAAATACCGAACTCGCAGTGACTATAGCGTGTTGAATTATCCGGATCAGCAGAATATAAATGAATGTTTGACTTCACTGTGTGAAAGGTTGAATAGATACTTGGAAGCCTTTCTTTTAGGGGCCGAGGATTTTGATTATGGCGCCCAAGAATATTTTGTTTAAAGTGCACCCCAAATAATCGGAAATCCAGGCGATATACACAGATAGGATCCTTTCGCGCTTTCAAGCTGCATGAAAACTGTTTGAATATTGCAATTGATATTAAACAGCGAAGGTGCCGAAGAGGTGACCTAATATTGTTAACCCACGTGTGCAAATGTGAGATTATTTACAAAGCTCCTTTCCCCCATCTCCACCTGCCTCTCCCCGTACTCCCCTATTTTCTCATTTCATTTCATCTCACCTCCCCGCTCGCTCTTCCCCTTCATGATCATCCAGACTCCTGTTAGCCTCCAATTCTCTTATCCTCTCTGAGCGTCTCGGCTTAACATAAACCTCATACCCATCCCTCTGATCTTCCACCCTCCATCCCATCTCCTTATTCCCCAACTCCACACATTCATACGTAAAGTCTTCTCCCCACTTCTCCTTCCACCTCGTATTCAGAATCTTGATCTTCTGATCCCACCTAAAACATCCCTCCTTCAGCTCCAATCTTTTCAAATTACTCAAGCGGGAAATCATCTCCGTCGTGCTTTTGAATAGACAAGGTTCTCCTAGCATCAGAAACTTGAGCTTTTCCTCCATCTTAGCAATATCGAGACCTCGAGATAACGGGGTTTGGAAACACTTCAGCATTTGTAAACTTCCTTGAAATAGTTTGGCCGCGCGATCAGATTGTATGTATAGAGTATCCTTGTCCCAATTAAAGTATATCGAATTTCTCAAACAATGTGCGAATTCGAGTCCATATTCCTTGCAGGCAGCTTCTCTCGCCATGATGTTAACATGTAAAAGCGCCGGCAAAGTAGTCTTTACAACGAGCTTTGCACTTTTGTATTTGCCCCCGTACTTCTCTCCTGCGTACCATTCCCGAGTCCATTTATCAGGTTCATCAACGAGAATCTCGACGGCCTTGAGAGAGATGATCCGGCCTTTGGGAAGAGCTTCTTTGAAAATCATGTTTTGTAGCTCAGGGGCTAGCTTTGCGAATTGATGAAACGTTGCCTTTTGATTCATGGGACGTCGAGGTCGGACGTAGTTAGACATTTCGGTGGATTTGGGATTATTCTCGAGAAGATGTTGGCATGGTTGATTCATGATTTAGATGGAAGCGGGATACTCGCAGATGATGAGATCGATGAGCTGTTGTTTTAAAGATCGAGGGATCTATATTGCCAAGCAGATAAAGAGGACCTCGAGAGTGTCTATCAATCAAATGTTAGAAATAAAGTGTTGTAACGAGTCTTTCCAGTGCCTTTCCATCAGGTGGATAAAAAAGAATGGTAAAGACTAGAATGTAGTAATCCTTCGTAGGAAACTCCAAAACTTACCAAATGATATGACGGCGATCTTTCAAAAAGGATGCCAGGTCGATTTTGCGCCGACTTGTGAAGTTGAAGATGATCCCATCTTAAAACTGATCTCCACGTTTAAGTAAAACGAGAGGGTTGACACGTTCGCGCCGTATTTTATTATTCTCAGCGCGAATTGGAAAGCGCTCAGCCGCTTCCCTCTAATCTCTATCCCTCTAATCTCTAATCACATGTACAGCCTTGTGCAGGGCTGAGAGCCCGTGAAAGTCATGGATCAATCTTGGGGAATTCTTTGATGAAAATGTGTGTAGGCGACTTAACCTAGGTAGCCTCGCGGTTTGCTCTTGCCCTTTGAGCCGATTTGTGCTTTACATTCTCAGTGGAGTTCAATGGTGGCTCGATCAGGTGAATGTTCAATCTTCATGTCTTGGCGAATGTACGAGCAACTATCAAACAGCCAATAAGATAATAACAATGGAGGAGACAGACATTCAATGTTCTTTTGTGATCACAATTTACCTAGTATGTATCCATGGTGCATATCTAGAATCGCCTTCTACTTTGCAGCTACCGCGAGAATGTCTGCAACCATCCTCATATTCACAGGACACTCAATACCCAACTCTTGTGCTCTTCTTACAATGTATCCATTAATATAATGAATTTCTGTTTCGCTGCCCTTACTGACATCTTGAAGCATAGAACTTCTATTTTGTGAAGTGGCTGAAGCAACATTCAAAATGGCGCTTCGCAAGCTTTCTCTTGAAAACCTTTCTTTCAAGCCCGGAATTTCTTGAAGTTCTGGAAGTGAACAGAAGACTTGACTGATTTCGGATACTAAACCGTCAAAGTCACTTCTCATACCTCCGACCATGGAAGGTTCCACAAGCATACCATTTAAACAATCGTTCAAGGCAGTGAGAGGATTTATTACTGCATTTACAGCCAATTTTTGCAATTGGAGGAGTTTGAATTCGTCCCAAGGAACTTCACTCGCGCCGAGAAGTTTAGAGTCAATGACTTGTTGCAAGAGATAGCTTCCATGAGAATTCTTCTCATTACCAACTCCTGGATTTCCAATAATGACGGAACCATGCCCAGCAAAGACCGCTGTGAAGTCGTCTGTTCGATAAACACCATGAGATGCTATACCAAATGAATAATGTGGTCTTTCTTTAGGATTTGGGAAGACTCTCTTATTGACTTCTTCGACCACCCCCATACCATTGTGTATGAAGATTATAGTTGACAAAGGGGTCAATCGATGTTTGAGCATGGAAAGTGCCTCAGCCGTTTTGTGAGATTTTGTGGTGACTATCAGATTGGATATACACTTAATATCTAGGGGGCTTGGAAGATCATCCA